CAGCACTTGCGTTCTCGAGTGTTTTGACATTATTGAAATATATATCGATTACAATATTTATAGACAATTGAATTTCAATATATTTATCGATTGCGATGGTCATCTTCAGTTGGATATTGTAATTCATTTCCCTGATTGTAAAGTACTAGGGGTGTGAGTCACTGTCAAAGTTCGCCCGTTTTTCCAGTTTTTTCTTAGCGCCCTGGAGATTTTGACAAACAACCATTCGATACTTATTGATAACTCAATGAATTTCAAAAACAATGAATTCCAATAACTTGATAAATTCCGACGAATTTCGAAAGTCGATACTTTCTGGTAACTCGATAAATCGCTAAATGGTGATAACTCGATAAATTCGTGTAATTCTAGAAATTTCGATAACCAGATCTACTTTGAGAATTCCAAAAAATTATATTCCATATATATCCACAACTCGATACATTCCGTCAATCTATAAATTTTGATCACTCTATGAATATTGGCTATTCAATAAATAACATATAAAATAAGATTTCACTAACTTGATAAATTTCGAGAATCCGCTAAATTTTTATAGCTCAATTTTTCACTCAATTTGATATTTTTTTTTTTATGAGAAACAATAAAATTTGCAAGATACCAGTTGAGCCCGATTTTTAAATTTTTGTTTGATGGTATTAAATTTTTATTGTAAAGTGCAGAAAAAGTAGCAATTTTGAAGAAAATCGATTCTCCAGTTCAAGTTAAAAAATGTTACGTAATAAAGACTAGTTAAACGAAAAAAAATTTTAAATGTTAAAAAACAAAATGTGCACCAACTTAAACAAAATTTTTAGTTTCTCGAAAAATGTTGGGTATGCAGCTTTATAGATCATCCCTTGATCATAAAATTTTAGTAAAATAAAATGCAATTTGTAAGTGGCTAATAGGTCGCAATGATTTCTAATAACTTTTTCGCTAATATTTCGAGCACATCTGCTAAACGGGAAATAAAAGTCTTTGTTATATCGTCGCCTGGGTAAAAGATTGTCGTATGTCAATTTCGGCAGGTTGTGGGAAATCGCGAATGATGTTTGGAATGCAATTTCTCTGAAAATGTTACTAGCAGTGTTGCCGCGCCCGAAAAATAAAGTTTAACAAAATCCATCAAAAAGTTTAACAAATCCCGTTAAAATTAAGCAACTTATTTATCGGGTCAACTTATTTGTCGGCCGCTGTGGTGTAGTGGTAAGCAGCGCGCGCTTCAGTTCCGCTGCCCCTGGGTTGAACCCTGGTCAAAGCAACATCGAAAAAAAAATATAGAAAAAAGGTTTTTCCTTAACAGCGGTCGTCCCTCGGCAGGCAATGGCAAACCTCCGAGTGTATTTCTGCCATGAAAAACAGCTTCTCATAAAAATACAATTTCCGTTCGGAGTCGGCGTAAAACTATAGGTCCCTCCGCTTTGTGTGACAACAACAAGGCGCATGCCACAAATCGGGGGAGAAGCTCGGCCAAACACTAACTTATGTGTAAGCGCCAAACTTTTATTATTATTATATATCGGGTCTTATTAAAACGAAAAATGCCTGGTAAATTGGTTATAGAAATAAAAAGTAAGCAAGTCAGTAAGTAAAGGCTCTCTAAGGCTGAGTTTTGTCGTCAAAAGTAAGGATGTTATATTCTAAGGGCCAATTTCAAAAGAATATTTAAACGGCACTTAAGTTTAATTGTGGATTGTTGTTTAAATGCCACTTAGGTTTCGTTGGGTTTCAGATCAACTTTGTCTAAATATGCCAAACAATTGGCAGCATTGGCTTATTCTTTGAAATTGTTGTTGCATTTGCATTCTTGATTACATTTTCTGCTGAACAGCTCATTGTTTTGGGTGGGATTTGTTGGGATTGATTAAACAACCTACCAATCAATCTTGGTTGTTTGGTATAAACACAGGCTTGCATATCTCATATTTAAATAGCAAAATTGGCCATTTAAGTGCAGACTAAATGTATGATCTGAAAAGGAATAGTGGAAATTAATCAACAATCTCTACTTAAGTAGGCCATCTGAAATCGGGCCCAACAGTTGCTAAATTTGAAAACTATTACACATTATTTCAAGCTTTCAACGCATACTCCTATAATAGTTATCTGCCCTTGCGCTAGTTTTTTGAATGCATGCAAAAACGAGTTATTTAGGCATCATCCAAAATGCGCGTGTTGATCTTGTCACGCAAATGAAGGGACCTAAAGTTCGAGGTCGCCTCCGAACGGCAAATGGTTTTTATGAGAAGCGATTTCATGGCAGAATTACACTCGGAGGTTTGAAAATGCGACGACCGTAGATCGGGAATTGCGTAGTGCAACATTTGCTGGAACTTTATGTGGGATCTGGATGACAGTCTTCCTAAAATAAATTTGAAAAATTTATTGAAATAGTAACTCTTCTGACTATGAATTTTTGAGGAAAATTATCCTTTTTGACTATTTTAATAAAAAATATTAGCAAAACGAAGAAAAGTTTAACATTTTAACAGGCAAGAAAAACTTAAGCATTTTTGCTTAAATTTAAGCAAAACGGCAACGCTGGTTACTAGTTCACCAAATTCTTAAATTATTTTATTTTTAATGTTTATTGTTAATTAGATTTGAGTTTATGAAGGATTTCCTTTAGTAAAATTTTGCCGTAAGCGCCTTTTGTCCACAATTTGGCAGCCACTTTGTATGAAATACGACAAAATGTGATCAAAATTTCTACTAAATTAACGACACTTTTTACTGAATATCTCGGAAACTAAAGAAGATATCCAAAAATGGAGAACGCCATTTTTAAGTTATTATTAAAAATCAACGCGAACTCTTAGCCACTTGCAACTTGCAATTTATTGTACTAAAAGTTAATGGTCTACAAAACTGCATACCCAAAATTTTTATAAAAACCAAAAAAAAAAAAAATAAAAATAAAGTTAATTTTGATGAACATTTTTTTATACATTTTCTGCACTTTGCACTAAAAAAATTAATACAAACAAAAAATTCAAAAATCGGGCTCAACAGTCTCTTGCAAATTTTATTAGCTTTCATTTAAACTAATCAAATTAATTGAGTGAAAAATGAAGGCTCCAGTGAATTGTGAACACAAAATGCCAAAGTTCCGTTATTGCAGAGAGAGAGATTGACATATAAATATGTACATAGAAAGCAAGCAGGGGCTGCGCGAATTAACATTGCTCTTTTGCTATTCGCGCTTTGAGCGACCTCTAAATATTTTTTGATAAAAAAAAAAAATAAAATAAACAAGTAAGAAAGGCTAAGTTCGGGCGGAGCCGAACATTAAATACCCGGCGCAAGTATTAAATATATGTTTTTTCACCCTACCGAAACCTTCCGCTAGATGGTAAGCCGAGTTGTAACAATTTTGAGTAAATTAGCGTCCTTCAATTTCGAAATATTGAAGTTTCAAGCAATTCTTAAATTTACCGTTATATGAGAATCGGCCGTTATATTAGTCCGATTTCAATAATTTTCAACGTTTTGCTTACACGTGGCAAGTACAATAACCATACCGAGTTTGGTACAAATTGGTAGAACGGTTACCGGTATACTTATATGTGATCATAAGTGGGCGGTGCCACTCCCATTTTCCAAAATTTTACCATAAACGCATTTCTTGGTAAAGAATTGTTGCAACCATCAATTTTGAAAAAATGAGCTTCAATATTTAATGATTTATCGAAGATTTTGTATTTCTCTAAATTACCGTTATATGGGATGTGGGCGTGGTTATTGTCCGATTTTAAAAAGTTTCGGCGGTTTTTTATGCTGTACCAAGGCCAACAACTGTGCCAAGTTTGGAAGAAATTGGTGTAGCGGTTACCAAGATATACACATGTAACCATAAGTGGGCGTGGCTACGCCCATTTTCCAAGAATTTATAATATTCTTATTTTTCGTCTAAAACTTATTATAAATATCAATTTTGAGTGAATAATCTCCAGTAGTTACTAAAATATTGCAGTTTTCATATTTCTGAAAATTACCGTTATATGGGAAATAGGCGTGGTTATTGAGCGATTTTAAAAATTTTCGGCCATTTGGTATGTTATGCGAAGGCCAACAACTGTGCCAAGTTTGGAAGAAATTGGGGCAGTGGTTACCAAGATATACACATGTAACCATAAGTGGGCGTGGCTACGCCCATTTTCCAAAACTTTATAATATTCTTATTTTTCGTCTAAAAATTATTGTAAATATCAATTTTGAGTGAATTATCTTCAGTAGTTACTAAAATATCGCAGTTTTCGTATTTCTGGAAATTACCGTTATATGGGAAGTGGGCGTGGTTAAAGTCCGATTTCGCCCATTTTCAATACCAACCTACCTTGGATTAAGGGAAACCTACATACCAAATTTCGTTGAGATATCTCAATTTTTGCTCGAGTTATCGTGTACACGGACAGACGGACAGACGGACAGACGGACAGACGGACAGACGGACGGACAGACAGACATGGCTTAATCGATTTCTTTTTTCATCCTGATCATTTATGTATACATTTGTCTATATCTATCTCGATTCGTTTTGGCTGTTACAAACAACCGTTATGTGAACAAAATTAATATACCCTTGTGCACAAGTGCGCTCGGGTATAAAAATAGGGGTATATTTTTTTCGGTATATACCAATCCTAGGAGGTGAGAGCATAAAAATTCCGACTTTACTTTTTCACATGCATTTTTGGACCACCCTACTGTACACTATGCAACCCTGTAAATTTACAGCTTATGCAACCTTAAAGCTAGAAGACGCGTAATGTGTATCTATCTATAATTTTTACCCTGATTTTCAGATGAAAAATAAATTCTATTTAAAAACGAAAAACGTTTAATTTTTATTTGAAGATAGGCGGCGTTTAATTTGATGCGGTTCAATAAACTAAATAATTTATGTTTATAAAATACAAACGCAAAACAATTAGTCAAAGCATTATTAAGCTTTAACAACATTAAAAAGTATTTAACAAAATCCAAAAAGGGCCGCTGTTTTCCTTCAAAATTTTATTCGTTTTCCTTATATTTTACATACAATTGAAGAAAAGCCCGTTTAACGTTGTTCACCAACCATGTAGTAAAAAAGGCATAATCACCGGTTGGCAATATTGTGGCGGCAGTTAAAAGTTTTTGATTGATGCGTAAATTTTTCACAATCAGCTCATTCTGCAGAGGAAAGCATAGATTTACTTAGTAAAATTTTGTAATTATTTAGTTACCCATTTAGTCATCTTTTCTTTCAACTTACACGGTACGGACACGAATGATTTATATTCGTATAGGGTCTTATGAAATCATACAAGTAATTTATCATAGGATTACTTTTTGTGCTGATAAATTTACAAGCATCGAATTTGGTGTCGATCAAGTAAGGACGATAGCCATTTGACTTTTTCATGAATTGCAGGTGTACCTTTGTTTGGAAAATTTAAGTCACAGAAATTGTTGAGACAATTAATTAATTATTTTTTTTTCAATTTGTAAATTTTTCATAAATATTATACGCACAGTAATATTATCCAGTGGTGGTTGCAGAATTTTCAATCGGATATTGATTTCGTTTAAACTACGTTGGACCAAGCGTAGGCGACATTCTGCGAAATCCACAAAGCTTCTATTCAAGCTTGTGCACTTGATGTCGGTTATCGTAGCGTGTGCGGCCGCCGCTGTAGCCACAAAATATTGGGCGAACCTGCTAGCCACAAGCAACCAGCAAACCAGTGCAACACTCTTCAATGGCGATTTCATACTGACAGGCAAATGAGCTACTCTGCTGCGCATCAATGGGCATTGCGAGCATTTTATTTTTATTTTTTAATTGTTTATTTATTTATTAGTGTTGCAGATAAAATGAGATGATAGCATTGAAGAGTTGAAGTAGCAAATAATTATATTAATTATGTGAAATAGTTCATGGCCCTTACACAATCGGTGAAGAGCCTTCTTCTGGCGTATTCCAATGCCATTTCGGCCATAAGCCGATTAGAGCTGGCCGATTTTCAAATTTCATGTAAGCCTTTAAAAATGCATAACTTAAGCTCACTAAATACAGAAAGCTTTATTGAAAACCTGTGTATTTTACGAAAACCGTGCACCAACAGCACAATATATCAGCAAACTGTCTGGAGCATACATAGTTAACCCTCTGAAACGAAGTGATGGGAATCTCCTTTTCACAGATGACACCAAGCAAGCCAACGGCATTGCATTTGCTGTTACGAACGAAGCTGGGCCAACCCTTTCTCAGGGACTTTTACCGCAGGATGCCCACATCTTCGAAGTTACGAATTACAAGGCTTGTGAAAAGTAAGCAAAAGTTTATAATATGCAGCGATAGGCCATCAGTATTAAATGCAGCAAAAAACATTCGAATGGATGTAGGCTCAATATGTAACATACAACAATTGTTAATTAAATCAGCAACAAACACGAAACTAATGTAATCTGGTATCTGGACATTAATGGTATTCTCCGAAATCAACATGGTGGCCATGCCGCAAATCTTGCTTTAAAATCGTGCCTACACTTTCACAATCCGTTTGATACAACATCAATTAAGAACATCTACTCTAGCGCTTTAAAGTCTCACCTGGGCACCATTTGGAATCTCTATCAACATGAATACAAAGAAGTAAACTCCCACAGTACCGCTATAAGACTGTCAACCGCGACGACTATTTGAATGAATCGATGTTTTGTACGTTTAAGGCTGGGCCATACCCACTTTAGTTTTTATTGTTTTAGTCAAATGCGCTCCTTTAAACTCAGACATCTATTGATGTATGACTTTCCCCTAAATAATGTACAGTAGTCGAAAAAATTATAGGCGCATCAAATTTTCACAAGTTTTAAAATATCATTTTTGTTGTTATTTAATTTTGGTTAGTTTTTCATAGTTCATTCTTTAACAACATCCGTATATATACAAGTTTAAAGGCAGTGTCACACGATTGGGTATATGCCAAACTTTGATGCAAATCATATCCCAATTGTGTGAATACCGAAATATTTTTCTTTATTTCAATCACGAAAAATAATTTGTTGAAATTTTTCAATAGAACATCGCTGTGTTGCACCAATCTTTTGTTGTAGGTGTTCTAAATACGGCCTTGCATATATCTATATAGTATAATCATTCATATAAAACCTTGTATAGCAAATACGAAAAATTTCGGCTGAAAATCGAAAAAGTGACCGTGTTTTAAATCGGTACTTGCCACGATTTTGAACTTCGTGTATTCTGACTCGGGAACACCCCGCAATCATTAATTTAATTTATTTAATTTTTGTACTTAAAACTTTTCACTGAACCAACTGAAAAAATTGGTACATAAGAAATGAGAAGTAAATTAATATTAAGCTGGAAAACGCAAGTTTTGTATTATGATTGTTTTCTTTTCAAATGAAATTTATTGAAGAAACTGAGAAGCATATTATAGATCAAACAGAAAGCAAAAAAAACTTAGTTATGTGGAAATGTTATGTTCAAAAAGCATGAAAAAAAAAATTCCAACATTTTGCTTCATAAGCACTACAAAAATTTTCTAAAACATTTTTTTTTTTTTTTAATTTTAATTGTTGCACAGGTCTCTAGCAATAATTTGGCTTTAACAGATTGAAAAAATATCAATTAGTCGACGAGTTATAGCCAAAAAAACCATATAAACAATATGCTGAAAATCGGCATTTGACTGCAAAATTCGAAGGTCGATTAAAAAAAAATTCGGACTAACATAAACAAACGCCGCGATACGGGTCTTCTAATTTAGCCTCGATTTTCACCCCTCACTCTCTGAATCGACCTAACTTTTGCTAACCTGAATTTAACCTCAGGGTAGCATAAACAAGTAACGGCTCTTATACCGTGCGTTTAACTAAATATCTATTCGCTGATATACAAACCTATGTACATACATACGTATTATATAGATTACCAAATTCGATGAATTCATAGCGTATTTTAGTTAAAGTATACATATGTATGTATGTATGTACATATATGTATCAATTTGATCGCTTGGGCATTCAATGCCAGTGCACAAGTTAATAAATTAGACAGTTAATTATATTTGCAGGAAAGGGTCTCATTACGTCTGTTGTTAAATGACATCAATTGGGGAGTAAACAATATTTTTGCTTATTGGGGAAAATTATAAATGCTACTTAATAAGGAATTTGGCATTTGATAGATATTAATGAGACTTTAATGAGCGCGGGCTGTAAATAGTGGATTAAAATAAGAAAAGTTATGCATACATTTAAATGTTTTTATATTTTTGCATTAGTTCATAGCTAATCCAATACTAGGAAACATGACTAGACAAAAAACAGTCCAATAAAATATTAAAAAAATAAAGTACCTTCGTAATAGATAGTTCGTACGTACCGTAAATGATGTAAATGATAAAATTTTTTCCCTCGTTTATTCTTAGAATCGCCCATATCTCCAATGTATCGTAAAACCGTAGGCTGTAATCGCAATATATTTCGCGGTCGCCAAAGCAAATTGAATTAAAATAAAATCTATTCTAAAGAAATATGTAAGTCTATGTAATTGGTGGCAATATTTGGGTTGGGTAACAAGTAGAAAAAAAGTAGAAAATAAGAATTTAAAATAGGATAATGTGCAGGAGGGGATACCAGGTATCAAAAACAGCGTAGGTGATGCAGTTGTGTCTAGCCATTGCGATTTCAAAGAAGGCAGACAATTAATCCAGCGATTAAGTATACGTAGCCACAATAAAGGATCGCAAAAATCTTAGAACAAAAAATTAAAAAAAAAATAAACCATTGCCAATGGATGTTGTAGTAGTATGCGCAATGAAAGTCTGATCAATTCATACAGTTGGTATACGAAAAGACAGATGGAAAGACAAATATCTTCGCCATTTTGGGGAGGTTTAGTAATCTGTGTTAAATCTCCAAATACGTAAATTTTGAGTTACATCTCCATATTATTAAACGTGCGATATCACGTCTTTTAACTAATTTTTATTTAAAACCAAATAAAGAGAAACAAGTAAGAAAGTCTAAGTTCGGGTGGAGCCGAACCCTAAATACCCGGCGCAAGGTATTAAATATATGTTTTTCACCTTTCCAAAAGCTACCGCTAGATGGTAAGCCGGGGTGTATCAATTTTGAGTAAACTAGCGCCTTAAATTTCGAAATATTGAAGTTTAAAGCATTTCTGAAATTTACCGCTTTATGAAAAGTGGCCGTAATTTTAGTCGGATTTCAATGATTTTCAACGGTTTGCTTTTATGTGGCAAGCACAATAGTCATACCGAGTTTGGTATAAATTGGTAGAACGGTTACCGATATACATATGTATATGTGATCATAAGTGGGCGGTGATACGCCCATTTTCCAACAAAATTGTATAGCTTTAAGCTTAGGCATGAAAATTGCGTTTAAGTTGAAAGGAATTAATTCACTAGGAACAACCTCCCATGCAGGCAAATAAAAAGAGCATTCATAGACGTACAAACAAAATTACGAATTAATCTTGACAAACATATCTATTTTGGTTGCGACTTAAAATTTTCCTTTTGCCAGTTTTAGCGAAAGGTTATTTCAGAGGAGAGAAAGAGGGGGAAACCTGCCTGAACTTTTGCGAGATTATCAAATAAATCAGAGGGGTGACGACGACAGCTTTCTTAGAACTGTTTATATTCATTGCAATTGCCAATTGCAAGGTGTGCGATACTTGCATATGGCACTCAGTTGAACTAAATATGAGGCGTTTATTTTGAAAGTGGCATAAGTCACTTCATACCTCATGTGCTTAAATGACCGGTTGCCTGTAACCAAATGCATCTGTAAATCGTTCTAATGTCATAAACTAACGACAAAACCTTCTACCTTTGGTTGATGAAGTTGAATGAATAACCAACGCGTTCTCATACAAGTAACTGGTAATTTAAGCACAAGAGGTGCGAAGTGACTTATGTCACTTTCAAAATAAACGGTTCATATGTTGAAATACTTTTAGAAATATTTAATGCCTACTCATTGAAATCAAATTACTAAGTTATTCTAGCAGCAAAAATCTCAAAAGGCAGCATTTCAAGCACCAGCCATTGAACCTGAATATGCGCGTGTATGTGTGTATACTTGTTTACTTCTCATCATATTTCGCTCAGACAACTTAACTTGATGTTATTCAAAAGTTCATGATTTATTTGCCAATCGAATGAGGAAAAAGACAAAAGCGAATAAAACATGTTGCGTTGTCAATGGAAGTGTATATTATTGTAGGTAAACGCACATACCATACATACCCTGCAGGAAATGTGTCTAACTATAAGCTAACTTTATGTTGATTAGGAAGGAGCTAAAAGTCACTTATTATCTGTATATTTTCTTTGACGAAAGCCAACTATATTTCTATGGTGATGGCCGCGAAATAGTCAAGGGTGGTTTACCTCTGCATTTGATGCAAATAATTTGTAACTAACTACTTTTGGACATAAAATATCAATAGAAAAACCAAATATTTTATTTTTATTTTTTTTTTTTTACTTTATTTATTTTATAACATTTCACTATTGTTTCTATATTCTGGTGTAGGTGGTCCCATATTCGAACTCCGTCAGACATAACTTCAAAATGATAATATGAAACTTCGATCTTCGTTTTATTTGTCCTCAATTTCGAAAAGTATTTGCAAGTGCAGGATATTTAAATAGAAACGCGTTTAAAGAAAACAATCTCGAGCTCTACTCCTGCATTACTTGTTCACTTGTTTC